GCAGCCTTGCTTGAGGTGACACCAAAAAGCTTCACAGCAAGTGTCTGTCTGTGACCACGATCTCACCTAGAGGAAGCCACGACCACGTGTTAGAGCAGGGAAGATGGCCGCGGGTCCGGTTCATCACCCAATGCAGAATTCGCGAATGGAAGCAAAATTTTGAGAACACTGCTGTTCACGAACTGAATTGTTCGTGAACAGAAGCGTTCGTTAACCGAGGTATTACTGTATAACACCAGTAACCATCTAGTTTCACAAGAGGCACAAAAGATGGACAGAATATAACACTGAGGTATGTTTCCTTTTTAAAGCATATTGTGCAAAATTTAGAGCAAGTTAGGCAACTTGCTTTTATGTCTTTTTCTGAGTAATGTGGAATTGGAATATCTGGTTTGGTGTATGTAATAATAGAATAGATTGGGTGGTAGTCATGTGACTATACTGCTTTCAAGAAGCATCACAGTGGAGTTCAGCTGTCTCTTATCGACTCAGGGACAAGTTGATTCACTTGTTCTGATTTTAAAGAATTAGAGATTGCCCTACAGAGCTCCCATGTTGTATTATTCACTATGGCTACAAAAATGAGGTTTTTAGTAACATATTGATAAATTAGAGTTTTAAATGTTTTATGTAGTATTTATTAATTTATTTTATTTGTTAAACTGTTTTATCTGATTCCAGATTTTAGATTATATCTGTACTTTGCTATTTGGGACTTCTTGTTTTTTGTTTTTTTTTAAAGACTGTACTTTTAGTTTTCTAAAAAAATTGGTGCCTGGTAAAAAGAACACTCAGACATACCCCCTTGATTCCCTTGTAACTAAAAGTTTCTTCTTTTTTTAAAATATTATTTGAAGGCAGTTTGTATTCCATCAAGTGGAATGAAAGCCCAAACCTCTTAATGAAATAACAGAAAAGAAAGAAATACATAGATGGCCTCTGAAATCCTGGATTTAAATCCATGTCTTTGCACATTAGGAGTTCCCCTTTCTAGTACTTTTCTGCCCCCCTCTTGCATTTATTCTGAAGGATCCTCCTCTGATACATCTTTGGAAGAGTACAGGAGATCTGTTGTGAGGTGGGGATAATTTCTTGTAGCTTAATTAATTCTTCTAGTTTAATAAAATAGTATTTATACATTTTCTTCACAGATTTATTCTAGCCGAGACTTTGAAGAATCCATAAACAAAATCAGAGAAATCCTGTCCGATGACAAACATGATTGGGAACAGAGAGTAGCTGCAGTAAGCATTTGATTTTATATGAATTCTTTATGTAATGTAACCTAGTTGGGATGTACTGTGCTGCTATTTGTATCTCATGGGACTTTTTCAAGGTTATCTGACATTTTGTGATATGCCAGAAGATTGGAAAATGCCTACTGTATCTGTATATTTCTGCAAACTGGAATTTGCTTTCTTATGTTCAGGGCACCCTGAAAATTCTCATTTCCAATTAAGTATAACAAAAACCAAGCAAAAATCATGAATGCTTAGTTTTCAGAGCTGTAGCGGGAAGCTTGAACAGGGCCACATTCTCCATGGTAGGTCTCATGTCATAAGAAGTTGCCATTCTCTTTAAGTGTGCTTCAAAGTTGGGTTGCATCCACCTACAACTCCATTTATTTTCATTTTCTTAGTTTTTAAAATATATGTTGGGGGTTTAACATGCTATTTATTGGATTTTAGTTTACTATTTTACCCTATCTGGAAACTTCACTGAAATGGAGAATATAAATATTTTTAAAGCTAAACAAATTTGTTTATCACACTGACAGACTTCTTTCTTCACTCATCTTGCTTCTCTCCACAGATGATCACTGATATAATAGTTAATTTTACTTCCTAAATTCTTGTTCAACAGCTGAAAAAAATCCGGTCTTTATTGTTGGCTGGAGCTGCTGAGTATGATACCTTCTTCCAACATCTGCGCTTGCTGGATGGAGCCTTTAAATTATCTGCGAAAGACTTGAGGTCCCAAGTAGTGCGAGAAGCTTGTATCACATTAGGGTAAGGAGCACAATTTATATATTCTAAATTGTGTTAATTATAGTCAGGGTGAAACTGCCACATGTTTTTCCTCTGATCATCCTCTTCTGTGGAAGGAGAGTGGGTGTGCACCTGGTTGAACAGCCAAAGGTCACTCCTTGCTGCAAATCTTTGTCACCCTGACTTGAGAGAATCACACAATTTAGTTCCTGCTTTTTCTGAGGAAGAGGAGAATGGACAACCTTTCATGTGAAAATGGGGAGCACTTATGCTTAATTCCAGTGACATTCTCCCACATCATTTGTGTTGACACCATATGATGGGGCACTCATGAGCATTCACAAGATGGGGTGGATTGGGTCTCCTGGCTCCCATGAAGTGGTCTCCGAACCCTCCACCCACAACCCTATTGTACTCTCTCATAATTCATGGGGATAGCCTCTTTGGTGGTACTGCCACCAGCCAATTTATCCCAGAGAAATTTCTTTCTGTCCTGGATTACTTTGAGGAAGGAGGCAAATGGCAGTTTTCTTGCCTTTTCTTCAATAGCTGACTGAAGAGTTGTCTGGAGAGATGTTTGCTATGGTTGATTGCCTTTTTCTTGGAGTGATCAGCACTGATTCATTAAGAATTAAAGTCTTTATTATGTATGTCAGAATCAAAGAACTAGAAGGCAGTTGGAAAAACAAAAGATAAGAGAAAGAAGAATGGAATGATTACTTCCAAAGAGTCTGAATTCAGTCAGCCGTTCTTAGAACATACAGGCACACCGTTAGAGCAGACGTCACCACAACTCAGATCATATTCTGCAAAATAAATCAAAACCTATATCACATCCACCTCCACTGGTCCATAGCTTGCTGTATAATTCCCTAATCTCCAGCCCAGACTTCATGGGTTGGGGCATCTTTTTCTAACCTGGCCTTCAGTCAACCCTGGGAAAAGAATTTGTAAGGAAACAAAAATTAAAGACAGAAAACAAAGTAGGCAAAATATCTGCTAATTGAGCATCAGTACAGTACTAAGGGCTTATCATTTTCAGTCTAAATCATGTTTTTGTATCATTCTCATTTCTGGACAATTGGCATTTCTGTATGTGCTAATCTTAATAATCATGAAACTCTAAAAGAAATAACAGGAAAAATTATTAGATCATAGATCCTTAATTGGTAGCTCTTGATTATTCTGGTAGTGAAAAAGCCACTTCCCTGTCTCAGAGAAGCAGTAGCAGGATTGCTGGGAGAGAGAAATCAGCCTCTGCTGTTTCTAAAGATTCTGTTAGTGTATGAATATCTTTACATACATACATGTCAGTGGCTCCAGCTTCGCGCCAGGCATGCCCCTTTCACTACAGTGATTGCCCACCCTGATATTGATGGGTATGAGTAATCTGTACCACATCTATGAACAGCGAATGATTAGGGTTATGCGAATGAAAAAGCCTGCTTTCCTGACCCCTATATATATCTGCATCATGGTTATTTAGTGCCTGTCTTGCAGTTACACTGCATGTCTGTTCAGAAATTAGACTCATTTTTCCTCAGTTAGTGGTTATAGGATTGTAGTTTAATGTTTGTTTATTAATTATTTTCAGCACTGCAATTTTTTATTTGTGAATGGTCTCTTGGTTATTAAGGAGCAACCTATGGATAGATGCTATAGCAAAATATATTTAAATAATGTGATAACTTGTATTTCTGTAGAAATAGGAAGATGAATATAAAGTAATCACAAGTATCTTCAGACAAACCAGACATTCTCCTCTCTGCCTTCTCCCCCCCTCATCGTTATAGTTGACTATTGAGAAATGTTTATTGAAACTTTGAAAAATCTCACCAGTATGGGTATTTCTATAACCATCGTTTCAACAGTTCCATGGTAGTTTCTGTCTTAAATGCCCGAACGCTTCCCTTAAGTCTTATTTTATAGGATTTAATACTTTGTCTAGGTTCAATCAGAGTTCAAGGTGAAAGTTCAGGTATTTCGTTTGCCCTGGTGCTTTAATTCTATACTACAGTTTGCTGGAAGCACTGATTTTAAGTAAAGGGCAGGAGGGCATATTAATAGCATCTCTAAAATTCATAAATGACAAGGCAAGATGGAAAGCATAGGAAAAGGCCAGACTTGAAACTGATCAAGCAATTTAGCAGTACCCTCTAGCCTTTTTCCATGATAGCTTCACAGTGACCTACTCTGAACTGATTCCTTGTGAAAATTGACCATCACGTCAACTGTTGGAAAGAAAACTGAAAATGCTTTATTAACACAGTTGCTGTGTTTGTAATTTATTGTTTAATTTATAGACACTGAATATAATAGAAGGCCTTGCCTAATAACATCTTGGCCTACGCTGCTCTTTCATTATTGTGACCTGATTTCTTGTTTTATTTCAGACATTTGTCATCGGTATTGGGTAACAAGTTTGATCATGGGGCAGAAGCCATCATGCCAACAATCTTTAATCTCATTCCCAACAGTGCCAAAGTCATGGCCACTTCTGGTGTAGTAGCTGTTAGATTAATTATTCGAGTGAGTATCGCTCAATGCAGATACAAATTGTTCTCCCGTGTACTCCTGATGAGAGCAGTAGAGGGATATAAACATGAAAATCAGTCCAATTAACAGGCTGTTGTACAGAATCCTAAATAGGCCTTTTAGTCAGTATGAGAGATTCACTTACTGTTGCCTTGCATCTGTGTTTGTATAAACATTACCAGACTGGAAATTCACAAAGCTGTGTAACCAAGAAATTAAATCCTGTTCTCTGGACTGTTTTCTTTATGGTCTGACAGTGATATAGTCTAAATTTGTTGCTTGTTAAATGCAAATGAAGAATAGAACACATCATCTGCTGAAGAATATGTATATTTTTATTGGAAAGCCCAGCTTGGCATTAAAAACAGACCTTTTTTTTTTTTTTTTGCATTCAAACAATTTGCATTCAAATTTTATAAACTGGGGTTTTGATGAACCACTGCTACTTTTTAGTTTAACTAACATTTTCTTGATGTGAAGGAGAAGCAAATCGGTGTTCAGTTCCAAGGAAACAATATTAAAAGGCCATTGGGTTGTACCTGCAAATCACAGCATGTGAAAATTCTTCAGAATTTTTCTACTGGACTAGCAGCTTGCTAGCGTCCTTTTTACTGGCCACAGTTGCACTATTCTTTAAGTGGTGTGCCGGGCGAAAACCTAAAGTAGATTTGATTGATTTAGTTCAAATTTAAATCTACTTCAAAGTTAATTAATTACATTTTTTAATTTATGCAGTTAGTAACCCATCATTTTACTCAAGCAAGTACTTCTTGAGTATTCAGTAAATTTTAATTTCTATCACATTCAAAATTAGTTTGATGTCAACTTTTGGAGGATGTCTGTAAACTGTATCCTAGAGTTTGCATTCATTGTTTAATTGATCTCATTGACAGTTATAATCAACAAGGAGCATTAAGCATAGTGTACAACCACGTGCTCATTTATGGCAAGTCAAAATTCTAGTTTGACGTGACATGCAGTCAGAACATTTTTGGATAATCAAAATTCTGGGGATGCAAAATTAAAAACACAGAGCTGGGCTTATTTATAAATTGTTGGTAAAGTATGATTCAGAAAGTGAACATGTCTGCATGATTAAATAGATGCAGAATTTAAATAGAACAATCAATGTGCAACAATCAAAATATCAATGGAAGAAAAATAAAAATCTTACGTTCAGTTTTATGCTTAGAGATAAAATTAGTGAAAGATATTCTGTTGATGTTTTATTACTCCAGTATTGATTACCAAAACAGAAAATTGGTTCTCTAAGAATTGCTGGAAGTTCAGTAATTAGGTTGATTTTTTTCATGTTTGGTGGCCATGTTGTAACAACTTTTGGAAAAAGATTTGTAACAACATGGAACACATTTTAAAGGCATTCTTTTCCTTTCATCCTGCATTTTTTTAATTAAATATTATCAAACCTTATATTCCCATAAAGTATGCTGAATTAGCTTTGTTCATGGTAAAGCTGCAATAATTCTTTATGCTTCTCACTGGAGATTATATGGAAGTATGCGTTGATATCAAAATTAACTTCATATTTGAAAGACAAATGTAACAAAATCTAGAAGCCATTTTGGATTATAAAAGCAGAGCTATACTCCAAGACTATTTGCTTTTTTAAAATTTGAACTTTCTACTGCTTCTAGCAATAAACACATTAACATTACACTGATTTGCTTGTTTTGAGAAATGGATCTCACTAGTCGTGGAAAAGAGTTAAAAGGCCAGCTCTGGTACTGCAGATCTTCATAGTGACCCTGTGTAAAGTTCAACATTTTCAACTTGATAGCTAATTAGTTTAAATTATTGCTTTTTACATTCTCAGGATTTTTTTTTTAATTCCCTAGCATACGCACATCCCTCGACTAATTCCCATCATCACCAGTAACTGTACTTCCAAATCAGTTGCAGTTAGAAGGTGAGTTGTTCTGATGGCCTGCTTTATAACTTACTTATCCAATTATGGGGTGTGTTATGGAATAATTAATTATGAAAACAACTGAGTTTTAAGAATTTGTTAGTTATAGGAATTCTCTTATTTACTTCCCTCCTTTTTCTTATTTTTTTGAGGGCTTTAGGATTATTGATAGAAAAATTGCCATTGTTAAATTAGTTTTTGAGCCTTGGAGTCATTCTGGATCTGAGAAATAGGGCTGGATGTGGTGGAAGAATGCCTTTTTGTAATCTCCATCTAGTGAAGAATCATCAAACCTATAACTGTAATACGTCTTTGTAATTACTGAGCTGGACAATGCAAATATTTGCAGCTGTTCCTAATGACTAAAAGCTGTCAATATCAGTTCTTAAACATGTATTTTTGCTTCCTGTATTCTTGCAGATATAAGCAGAGCATACTGGTAATTCTCCTGTAAAATCCTTGATAGTACTGATCCTCATACATTAAAAAAAAATGTTTCTTTTTCCTTGATAGGGGGACAGGACCATTTTCAAACCAAAGCCCAAATTCTGTTTGGGGACATCTTTTTCTTCTTCTTTGTTTGGTCCTTTCAAGTTGGTTTTGACTTAAGTCAGTCCCTGCAGTTTTCTTGGCAACATTTTGGGAAGTGGTTTGTCCTTGCCTTCTTCCTGGGGCTGAGGGAGGGTGACTGGCCCAAGGTCACCCAGCTGGCTTTGTGCCTAAGGCAGGACTAGAACATCTCCTGCTTTCTACCCTGATACCTTTAACCACTCCACCAAACTGTCTGTCAGGAACATCATGCCAGCAATAATTGGGCCAGAACACAGTACGATTCTCACTGCTCCTAAAGTTATCTGCTGTACAGAGTTTCACCTCCCATTCTAATCACCCAGCTGTGTCTACCAATGCCATGGGTTTTGTCTCTTCTTTGGTGACCCTCTTTGGTATTTGCATTGATCATGCCACCACTTGTAGCTGCCTTTCAGAGTTATCATCTGTAAATCTGGCACACAGCTGGCTGTTGGTCAGAGGCTGTTGGTTTGTTTGTTTGTTTTTCAGAAAAACTATGCATGCAGCACTAGATAATGCCAAAGAATAATGCTACTGTAAGCACTTGTCTCTGAAATTAATCTGCTTAGATGAATAGTCATATCCTATTTACTGTTGTTTTGCATCCTGAGAGTTCTTACTGGAGTTGTTTTGGTGCCTCACCTGCTTTAACACTGAAATATGTGCAAAATTGGTCTACTTTCATTTTTTATGCTTTTTGGTTCCTGATTGAGCACTGAATTGTCCAGGACACTTGCACAATCTTACATGCTCCCCAACTGATTCAGGGTGTTCTTGGGGGTCGGTGGGTAAAACCTGCTGGTTATTCTTTGTCACTTGAGTTTGCAACAATCTTAACTTTGTTTCAAAAAAGCACACTAAATTAGAAAAGTGCCAGGTTTTGATCTCAGGTTTGGTAGCGTTCCAAATATTCAGCTCCCGAATAAAACTCCAGAGTTGCATGTTCTTATATCTGCTGTCACCTCTCATTCAGCCAGTGCATTTCAAAATGAAAAAGGGCAAAATAAATATTTACATGGAAGCAAAGCCTTATTTACTTAAATGTAAACTTTACTAACAGCCAAACTCAATTCTATGTGAAGAAAAGGATTCAGTCCTTACTGGCCTTTTAGTAAATGACTGCATAATAAATAATTGAGCAGTAATCATGACCAGTTGTGAGTATAGTGGAGAAATCTTGAGTCATGATCAAACAGAAACTACGAAGAATAAGAAAATTCCTATAGGAATACTAGAAAGCAATGAAGGTTATGAAAAGTAACAAAGATGTCTGAACAATTTCAAAAGGCTCCTGGAATTATAATAATAATTGAATGCAGGCATACATGTAGTCCTTGACCTACGACAATTCATTCAGCAACCGAAGTTACAATGGCATTGAATGAATAGTGGTTATGACCGGTCCTCAGAGTTCCGGCTGTCCCAGCACCCCCATGGTCACATGATCATGATCTGGGCACTTGGCAACCAGTTTGCAATTTTATGATTGCTATTTGCAATCTTCCCTGCTGGCTTCCCTAGAAAGTCAATGGGGAAGCTGGCAGGGAGGGTCGCAAGTTGCTGGGGTAAATCTCCCCCCCAACCCCCCAGCCACTCTGTGTTTGTGCTGTGCTGGCCACTTGCACACCCTCCCCAACATGCACCATGCCTCTCATGCACACCCACACACCCTCCCCAACTCGCACCATGCCTCTCGTGCAGCCCCTCACATCCTCTCTGACCCTCCTGCACATCCACTTGCTCCCTTCCCCACCTGGCAGCAGCCACTTGCCTGCTTGCTGACCTAGAAGTTGCCTCGCCTAACGACCATGGAATTCAGTTAACTACAGCAATCAGGACTGCAGGGATTGCTCTTGCACTTTATGACCGCATTGCTTAGTGACAGAAATTATAGTCCCAATTGCCATTGCAAGTCAAGGACTATCTGTACAATGCTGGCACATAGAATATTACAGTTCCCGCACTACAGCCATTAAACTTAACATTACTCAGAAATTACAAAACCCTGAGGGGGGTGGGGGGTGCGTTAAGAAAAAATAAAATAAAATAGTGGCCATGACTGCATAATTGAAGCCCCACCCCTTTTATGTTTGTCATGTGGCACACACAAAAAAGAGCAGACCTCAATTGCATGGTCACAGCCACCATTTCAACATTTCTGACAACCCCTCCTCCCTCTGCTCACGCCACTGTGTTAAGTCCTGACTAGAAGCACATGATTTTCCTTGGAGCTGTCATTTAGTGGCCTGATACCGGATTCCCCAAACCTAGTTCTGGAAATCACTGTATCATATACATGATTATTTCTTTGATGTTAAGCATACTGTCATTGATATAGCGTATCTTGGAAAAACATTAATGCTAATTACCTTTTTTCTGTCTCAGGCGGTGTTTTGAATTTTTAGATTTACTTTTGCAGGAATGGCAGACACACTCCTTGGAAAGGTAAGACATGAGCATTATGATATGTAACATATGCTGCTTCTCTAGCTGCATTTTCTTTGGGGAGATTCTGTTGAATGGAACTGAGGAGATTTGGAAGATGAGTTTAGCGTGGCTCCGTTCTCTCCCTTCCTTGAAATGGCAGACGTTCCATCTGACTCCCTGCAGAGGGATAAATGGAGACAGGTCTGGCTTTACTGAAAGAAAACAGCTTTCTTCTGCCTGTCTAGTGTCTGAACTGTTTCCATCCCAACTGCTCAGTATAAGAACTGCTATGTGACTTGTACAATTGGCGCTTCCTTTAGATTGCTTTGTTTCACCCTTTTCTCACCCTTCATTCGGGTCACATCTGAGCTTGCAGTCTGTGGACAGGCACTGTCTTATTTTTATGGATCTTAGGTAAGGTGCTCTTGAAGACTTTTCAAGCTGAACAGTGGGGTAAAATGCTTTAAATAAATGCATGTGAAGGAGAGAAGAACAGAGAGATGGAAAGTCTTAACTTCAAACCTTTTTATTTGTAAATGTATCTATTTAAAGAATGTTTTGGCTTACCTTTTTACTTAAAGAACATTGAGAGATATTATTCTGACCACTTGTACTGAAAAAAACAGTGATTGTCTTTGTGTAGGCAAAAGGCAAAGGCATTCAGGGGGTAAGGAAGTAACTAGAGAGAGTACCCTCAAATTGGAATGTGTGAGTATTTTGTTGATCCACATTAGCTTAGCCAGTTGGTGTTGCAGAAACACTTCAGAATAGATCAAACATTTGGTTTATAGCTATTCAATTAAATTCTTGTATGGCTTCAGCATCTTAATGTGTTTTAGTGGCTCCACGCTTCTGTGCTTCTGTGGTTTCCACATAACAAAGGAATGACCTCCAAGGAATGTTATTTGGTATTTCTTATAAAAGAGAATGAAATGCAATAAAGCTCACTGGTACAAACAAACACCCACACCTTCCAAAAAGATACTATGCATCCAGTTCTTTTTAATTCTGAGCAACTGGATAAACTTCCTTTGAGTTCCAAATGCAATGCTGGAAGACTGTTTCTTCTCTCCTCCCTCTTACAGGGTAAATAGTGATGTCTTCTAATTTCAGGCATGTATCAGTATTGGCTGAAACAATCAAGAAAGGAATCCATGATGCTGACTCCGAAGCACGGATAAAAGCCAGAAAGTAAGTGGGCATCTTTTTCCTTCAGTTGTTCATATCAATAATCACAGGTTTCTATTTGCTATTCAGCTGAAAAGCTTATAGAAATTCCGGTGAATGTGATATTCCAGAGGAAGAACAGGACCAGAGCATTAAGAACTCAGGAAATGGGCCATGTTACACTTAATAACGACTCTAACCTTTGGCACATGCACTTCAGTGTAAATCTCATTGAACTCACTGGAACTTTTTTCTGCATAAACAAAATAAAATAAACTAGTCGTTGTTTTGCTCTTTTTAATATTGTTTGTTCAGAAAATTAATGTGGGAATTTGAAAAAATGATTGTGATTTCTACATTTTTTTGTTTAGTAGCCCTGAAAGTTCAGATTTTTGCATTCTATTGGATTGTTGATATT